CAATAAAATTGGCCTTGTTATGCCTCGTAAGCACCATCCTCTCTCAAACCTTCTCCGCGCCCTGTGAGTAAATAAACAGCCTTCCGCAGAAAAAGTTAAGTGAAAAACTGACTCTCAGTCGGTAAATAAAATGCTCAAGGTTAAAGTTTTTCCAATCCAATGTGAGACTTCACTAATTAATATTGGCTGTGGCTGGTTGCCTTTACAATCACTTTTCAAGGCATCCAATCAAAGTTGAGGAACCAATCCGGTTCTCGTCGTCTCCACTAATTACTTCCGACTAGAAGAAGCTTCTCTCAGTTGGACTAGCAGTCTAAGTTACATTTTATCTAACTGAAAGAATTGTTACAAGTCCACTTGCATTATGAGGTTTCGAGTTAAAGTGGATTTGTTGCGTTTGTGAGGATCTATGAGAGACATCATTTAAAAAGGATAGCCAACTCTCAATGCGCCCTAACGTGTGACGCATTAAGATGGGGACTAAATTAAAAAGCATTCACAAGTCATTTCATCGCCACTTGAATGGGTTTGTGCTGTCATGGCTCAGATGATATATCCATTTTCTCACTACTTCCCGGGTGTGACATTTTTTGTGCCCTAACAGTACACTGAATATGAACAGTCTAGTGTTAGTGTGGAAACGAATTTGTTGATCGTCAACAGGCTGCCTAAGCAAAGAGGACGAAGAAATTGACCTTTTTTCTCCTGCAGGTAACATATAAATGGAAATTGCAGTTGTCAATGCACTCTTCTGCTATGGACATGACTCATGCCTATGCTAGTGATAGCACTGCAATCATTGTCACCCATAGGTCTCAATCTTACAGATACATTAATCGTCCTCGTCACTGATTCGTTTGTCATCCACTATCTATCCTTGCATCTATTATTGACGTGAATACAGCCTGCGCTTTTGTCCGTTTACGTCTTTTTTGTTAAGAAGGAGGATTTTGAGGTTTCGGTTACATTCGAAGTGGCATATTGGGCCGGAGTTTCGGGATTCATGGTCTGCCTCCAAAGTGGAGCACCACTGGCAAACTGACCCACGTGTTAGGATGAGAGTGCTTTGGTGGTAATTAGTTCGAACACGACGAGAATTCTGAAATGTGTCAACCTAATGACAAGTGAAGGAATCGACTTCGTCTTTTTTTAGTAGTCGCGACCCCCTTATCGATTGGCGAGTCTAAACCACTCCGGAAAATCGATATTGCATTAATAATTGATGTGTTAGCACCAGCATTTACTCATTGGCAGTTTGTTTTAGGAAAAAAAGGATTGTCATATTTTTATCAAACTTTGAAAAAGGTAACGCGTTAGTTTACATGTTGTCTAATTTTCTCCTTTTTTCTCCCACGATTATCCCGACCAGGCAACTCTATAAACGCTAATCGGACATTTTGACGCAACCGATTCATTTGGGTTTTTAAGGGAGTGATTTGAATCCATCAGATTTATTACCTAAGATTCATAAAAGGTGGGTCATAATAAAAAAACTCAAAATGAGTTACATTTAGGAATACACTTTTTATTTCACAATTATTTGTTTGCTTCTGTAGAGAAATAACGGAAAATTAAAATGCACCTACTTAATGCCCTCACATAAAGACACTGAGACTGATTTTTGATGTTACCGCGAGTCAGTTTTTTTAGTGTAAACAGAAGCATTTCAAGGTGATGCCGTTCTATCCTGACGCATACTCATGGTGAGGGTAGCACTCAAAAAGGCCCATAAAGTAGTTTGGGCTAGTAAATATCCGCGAAAGATTATAAAGGCGAAAAACGTAGTGCATCAGGCGGTGACAGGGTGACCACTATGGACATAGCCGGTTACAATAAATCAGATAACTTTTAGAGGCTGATAGAGTGTACGCATAGCTATGGTTTAGTTGTTATAACCATCGGGTATCATAAATTGCCAGTTGAATTTAATGGAAGTAATCCGAGTTTGTTTAGTTTAAAAACCAGGTTTGATCAAGTTTCGAAGACGTGAAGGCAAAATATTCTCGAATACCGTCCTGTAAAGCATTTGGAGAAGGCAGTACGTGGTAGCAGAGCAAACCACCCACTAGTTGTTTCAACACCTGGATGTATAGAGGTAAATCACTTTCTGAAAGGCCCTCTATCTATAATTAAAACCAGTTGAAAACGTGAAAATTGGCTTTCTTTGTATTGTCTAGCATGAAATGTGTAACAGTTTGTGACAGAAGTTAATCAATCAAGTGTCACATGAGACGTATTAACATGTGGCAGTGAGCTCCAAGAACTGTGGGGATGCTCTTCACTGCTCAAAAGAAAGGATTGTTTGATGATTGGTGTGTTCGTAATGAGGAATGACATTTGAATTATAAAATGAACACGGAACCATCCACGCATTACCTAACGCCTCGCTTCTAAGGTCCTTATCGCTACATCCCCAGATGAATACGGGCAAAATCGCTTTTGTGTAGTGGCCTTCAAACTGAATTGCTCACCTTCTGAAGGCCAGGCAATCACACCTGAGATCTACTAACTCGATACAGTGCGATACAACTCGAACGTGTTCAGAGACAACTTCTTCTTACAATTCAGGCAGGACAGCTCGGAACAAAGTTATGTTCCCATTCTTTCATGATAAGAAAAGGCTCTCTACCACGTTATGTAAAACTTATATATGAAAAGATTTCTATTTTAGGATGGGAACGAAGTACTATCTCATTCTCATCCTCCTGTTCTGTTTTCCCCAAAGAAATTTCTCGAAGTAGTCTTCGCTAACTTCTCCTAAAAAGTAGAATAGGGAGATGGGAAATAAAACTAAGGCAGAAATAGAGGTAACTGGAGCCATTTAGGCACGTGGTGCCAACTTTAGCGGTAATTTTGCCTATTTATCGGTGTCCGCGTGGCGGGACCGTGACCAATAGCATCGCCAATGCAGCGGAGGCCTTTGCCTGAGGGACTCGAGAGACTGCCACAGAACTTATGGTACCTGTCGACAGATGGAGTAAGTAAACTACGTTGATATGCACAATGCCCACGCAGTTCGCGCCACTACCCCCACGAAGTGGAACCCAAAATTGAGCAACTCGGAATCCTATACTAAGTGATTAGCGTATGGAATGTAGCTGCAACACAGCTAACATCAAACCCTAAAGTAGTGTTTCTCAAAAAGCCATTTTTCTTGAGTTTGTTGGGAGAGGACATGGCAGAACTTTATCAAGACATGTGGAATTGATCATTACCGTTGAATTTTGATGTCGTGTCTTAGTGGTTGCAGGAAGGGAAATGCCTGGAGGTACCTGAAGCTTCACTCAAAACAAGGCAATAATCTTATAGAAAAATTATTCCTCTTCCAATTGTACAAAGAGTAATAACCTACATTCATTAGCCTCCTAGGGCAAATCAGTCCCACTTTCTGTGGTATAGAGACCTGCTATAATCATCCGCCTAATTAACTTAGGTGCATTAGCAACCGCCATGACTATGACTTTCTACAATGCAATACTTTGTTAAACTCTCGGTTTTGGTAACAGGCCACTCGGGTCTCCGCCATTGTACTTCCTCCAAGGGCCACGTTAGTAGCCTATAAGCCCTTCTGTAAGCCGATAATACTTATTTTGCCCAAGTTTAGGGCTTCATACGCCTCAAAGGAAGTCTCAGGGCGATAAAATAGTGTGATAACTCATGACAGTCCGTCACTCACACATATGACATCATCATACTCTGATTTAATGGAACGGAGCACACTCTGCAGATCTACACAGGAAAAGAACACTAATGTATCAAAACTTAGTGGTGGATATGTATTTGAGCCATTTTTCTTCAATTTATATATAGCAGTATTAAACTAATCTCTTCGTTTTCTCATGAATCGTCCTATGTGCCTCTGCCAGGAAGGCTTAAAGGAAGTGTTTATCCTTTAACACCAAAAAAGTCACTTTTTTCTTAGGGTAGACAACCCCGTCGTGATTGTTTGACATGTGTAGCATTGCCGAACTCGCTCAGTTTGGAATTCCATTTCCGTCAACCAAAACTCCTCACCCTGTAACCTCCAGAATGTTTCAAGCACTTCTGTGATTAAAATTCTAGATTTCATTTTTACTAAGACGGATTGAGTGTAACCATAATGGGAGGTGACTTTCAGGCAAAGTTGCAGTGCTAAAAAGCCTAGACAA